GAGGGTTGAATCGAAGGTGGAGACAGAGGGGGGAGTAAAGAATGGCCGCCCACAAAATTTTGGCAGCGTTTTCCCTCCCCACTTGGGGACTGGTTTAAACGACAAGGGGGGAGTAAGAGGATTAGGAGAACGATCAAGGAAAACGAGTGGAAGAGGGTTGATGGCCGGTTGATGGCGCACGGGAGGAGGGTTGGATTGGAGAGGGGTTTCGATGTGGGTCGAAGGTGGAGACAGTGGGGGGGAGGGGGGGGGGGGGGGGCAGTTGGATGTGATCCTCGAGTGTTATGAGGAAGGGATGGGAGAGTCTGAGGGAAGGCAGGGGGAGATTGGAGAAGGGGTGGACAAGGGGGTTGATTCTAGACGGGAGCAGGGTGGTTGTATAGCGGAGTGTTGAATGGCCGGGGGGCAAAAGGAGGGGTAAAGGTGGACAATGTGGAAGGGGTTAATCTATTGAAGGAAGGATGATGGGTTGTAGGTCAGTAGGGGCTAGTGGAGTCTATCTCACAATGTTCGTCGGCGTGAAGGATCAGACACTTCTCATGGCTTCCCCGTCGTGCTTGGGAAGACGCTGCAGGGCTCGAAGTCTTGAAAACCGTGGAGCTTCCTGGCGACGGTTCTGGTCTTCATACGATGTCTCGACGGATCCTCTCATCCCGATAATGGGAACCCAGCACGCGCGCGCCAGAAGCACGCGCGCCTGGTTCCCCTATCGGATTGTGGCGTACCCGAAGCCCTCCAATGGGAGGGGGGGGAGCTCGATGCGATGGAAGTAATTGGAATGAGAATCAAGGTTCGTTGTTCTCACAGCGTGTAGCGAGCGGTGGCGCGATGGAGATTGAGATTGAGGCTCCAGGGCGTGTTCGCTCGTGCAGCAGCGCTTTGGGCGATGGCGCGATGGAAGACGAAGAGTTTGAATTCAGGGCGCGTTCGCGCGTGCAGCCTTGCTGCGGGCGATGGCGCGAAATTTAGCGCTTGTTTGCGCTAACCGACCGGCGCGAGTGCATTTTCTGCCAGAAAAACCTTCCAAGTATCCAAAAAAAAAAACTGTGGTTTTTAAACCGTTATTTTTGATAAAAAAGTCTAGGCTGGTCCCCGGGCCCCCCGGCAGCCTGGTCGTCACCCAGGGGGGGGGGGCGGGCCGCCTGGCCAGTTGTCACGCCCGGTTGGCCACCGGGCATCCCCGGCGCATCAGTGTAGATTTTTTTATTTTATTTTTTTTTGGCGCTGGGGGCCTTTTCGCCCTCATGGCAGACTATGCAGACCACGAAAAAAAAAAAAACGGGCCGGCAGGCCCAATTTCACCAATTCGAAATCGGGCCCGATCTGGATCATCGATCTCAAAGATCAACGGCCCAGATGGCCGCGATTTCAAATTGGTGAGGGCGGGAACTACCGGCTCCCGTTCCCTCCCCCATTCTCACGTTGTACCCCCTAGGTCCCACCATTCCCTGCCCTGCAGTTGTGTCGCTCAGCCGGATTTTGACGCGGAACTCCGACGAGCCCCGCCAGCACCTGCCAATGCCCGCCACCGAGCGTGACCCCCCTGACCCTGCCATCACCCGCCAATGCCCACCATCGCGGTTCCCCGCCATCGACAAGGTAAGGGGCTTGGAGAGAGAGAGAGAGAGAGAGAGAGAGAGAGAGAGAGAGAGAGAGAGAGAGAGAGAGAGAGAGAGAGAGAGAGAGAGAGAGAGAGATCTT